TTCACTCCACCTGTCATACTCAGCAGGCAACCCACGAGCGTAAATCATAGCATTCACTCGACTGCTCCCTCCCAGAGCCTGTCCCGTGCACAGGGGGAATGTCTTGAGCATCGTCTTCTGCTCTGAGCTATGGAATTGTCGCGTCCGCAGAGTATCTGAAGGGAAGTCGGACGACAAGAGCGGTACTCGTGATGGCCATGAATCTGCTCGGGGACCACGTTCAACAAGGAGAACGGTTGTAGATAGGTTTTCACTAAGGCGATTCGCAAGGACGCAGCCCGCGGTTCCGCCTCCTGCGAGTGTCCTTTCGGTGAGGCAACACACAATGCCGATGCGACATGCGTACCGATGATGATATAGTCATACTTTGTGTGCAGGCCACCTATAGCGACCTCCGGATAGGCAGAGAACGGCCACATGAGCACAGAGAAGATAGTGGATACCCAGGCAGGATTCCGTAGGAACGTGAACGCTGGCAAGGTCAAATTGGATGCCGTTGGTGGTGCAGCACAGTGGCAATTGCAGGCAATGTTGGATAAGCTTTGTCAGATCTGGAAGTTGAGCAGCAGGGCACTATGGGAAACCTCAGCGAAGAAACGTCCAACTTGAGATGCAAAGCCAAGGCTGCTCCGAGTTAGAATCCGAAATTAGCTAGGAAGGAGCCTGCTAACCTTGTACGATGTTTTGGCACATCCCACGACCTGCAATTTAATGCTTCCGCCTGACATGATGCCCGCTCGAGGGAACATAATGATGACTCGACAAATGTGCATTGGCCCCATTTCCAAAGGCGTGGATTTGTTTTCCCATTCCGAGACAAGTCACATTATGGATCTGTCGACGTGAGCCGCCTCATAGCGTCTGGACACACGTTGTACTTACTTATATGTCCAGCAGCATACAGCTTGGTCACGGTTTGCACTAGCTCAGAGTGGCTTGTACTCCAATTTCATTGTCAAGCCAAATATAGTATCAAGTTGCGGTCAGGTGCGTAGCCCACATCGCTTCCCCCCTTGTTCGCTCATCTGCCAGGTATGCTTCTGTCATAGAACTAAGCAGTCTAGAAGCTGCTCTATCGCAGCGAGGCTTTGTGTGCATCTGAGTGTGTAAGGCCGTACTAGGGCGGTATTCATAGGCTATGCAGCGCGTCTCTTCGAATTCCGCGCAACTGAGTCTCAACTTGCACCTTCCGACGCGAAGATTGCGTTGTCACATTGTACCAATAGTCTGGGTCGTCGTTAGAAGAATTCTATCATCAGTCAATGAATCTTCACTTTCTGATGCTCCAAACACATCAATGATTCCATTCATGTACTGTTTATATGTAGGCTATGCAGTTTAATAATTTGAGCATATAAAGGTGTGCAGTTCAAGTTTAGATACCGAGCCTTGACCTTCGTTATCATGTCTGTGCCCATTCCAGAGATAAACCTCAATCCTACATTAGGGGTCCTATTCATTGGACTGTTGTTTGATGCAGTGTATAGTATCATTATACTACTATATCATAGCCAAGCATCACTGATGAGATTATCTAATTAGGTACTATGGTGTTACCCTTGTACAGATGTTTGACTATGTATGTCCACAGCCTCATTCTTGAACTGAATGTAAAAAACTGATACATATTGACAGTTTATATTTTTCCCAAAAGACAGAATGTATCTCAAGATTATGGTATGAGATATTGTGATATTGTATGGGGGTTCTGAAGTAATATTCAGCTCAGGTTGTGGTTTTATGGTGACTATATATTACATTCATACTTGCTTTACACTTATAGATTACAGGTGTCTAAATACAGCATGTCTTGCTCTATTTGCAAGCAGTGTTTATCTTGACCTTGTGGTGGACTTCATGAATCCACTGGCTCTTGAGGGAGTACCTAAGTAGGTTTTTTTTGAATTAAAGATCTACCTTTACTGAATTACAGTATATTTTATAGGGGCATTGCAGTATGTATAATTTATATTCTTATTCACATGAGGATGTTAACAATGCATTTATTAGATTTCTCCACTGTTTTCAGTAAGTAATATCACCTTGATAGACATCTCATCTTTTAATTATTGTAAGGCTCTTGTACCTGCAATTGTTCATATGTACATATTTCATATTTATTCAAGTTCTGTGTAAAAGCTTATGGCTAGCTATTAGTTTTATGGCACATAGAATTTGGTCTAGTGAGTAAGTGTTATCTGTTTTATATTTTGTTTTCTGAAAATTATATTTGTAGTCAATCCCAAATGGATACTTATTGCTGCATTTGTTGTATGTTTGCAATCTATCATGGGGTAAAATAGTACTTACTACAGCTCACTCTAAAGGCATTATCTTCTCTGTTTCCTTTAGGTAAGTTGTACATAGTTTCAGAAAAACAGAAATATTCTTATCTCAGATAGGACTTGCAATTGGTTTGTAAAGTATAATTCATTGCTTTAAAATTATTACTAATCCCAGCTGCTAGTACAAATAATAGATTTGTAAGAGTTCTCACAGAAGATTACTTCAAGTGCTGACTACTTTATTAACAGTCTTAACTCTAATGGACCTGATTTTCAGCTAACATATGTAAGCATCTATAGTCTATTGAATGAATTATAGAACCATAAAATATTTTTGTTTTTAGTGGATGTCAATTGCATCCAATGCTAGTTCTCTTGTGATAGACTTTATAACTTCTGTTGCCATCAGTATTCAACTTTATCAATGTCATTCAAGCATTCCTAGGTTTGTTAAATTTTGATATTATCTATGTTTGATACATATATATTTCTTTCAGAACACAAAAAATGTTACAGAAGTTAACATTGTACACAATTGTAACAGGACTAATCCCTCTGTATATAATTTTGAAAACTCTTGGGAAAAACCAATGTCTTACTGTAGTTGTGCAGGCTATTGTGTACTGCATCTCTTATTGCAGTAAGTGGTCAGATCTTACTTAAACCATATTTGCAGTATTGACATGTAATCAATGCAACAGTATCAAATTGAATCTTTTGGAAGCTACATGGCCACTGTTTCATATCTATTTGCAATACTTATTCCAAATGGTATGTTGTTACAGTATATTTTAAAACTTGGAAAATTATAATTAATGAATCATATAGCTTTTATGAATACATTTATTGCAATGTAAGCAGACAATGTGTTTCTTGTATGTTTTTTATAGCTCATCAATTTTGCTAGACTAAATAGCAGGCAAAAAATGGAAGGAGAGGGCATAACCATTGCCTTGAACTCACCAGCTGGCATGCATGTGCAAACAAACACCCTAGAGTTTGCTGGTCCAGGATTAATCACAGGGAGCTCAGCAGATGAAGAACTACCAATGTCATTGGTATGTTCTACTGTATTGTAATTTTACTGATTATTGAAATGCTTATGTCATTCAGCTGCAGAGACATCATAAGACTGACAATCATTCCAATCAGGCCTTTCAATCTCATATCTGAACTCACAAAATGCATATATACACCAGTACTTGTGGGAATAGCATAGAAAGTCTGATGTATGTATTGTCCCAAATACTCTGAGATTATCTGCTTCCAATGCCTCCCTACTATAGATATGTCACTCAATCACATGTACAATATAGAAAAGAGAAGAGCTACCAGCAATCAATAGTGATTGACATTTCTTGACATCATATTGTAGAGAAAATTATGGATTACAGTAACATAGAAATCAAAATCCATCCAAAGTAACAACCATCAATGTCCACACTCATCTCCAGCTGAGACATTGGCAGATCACAAAGCAGGTAACATTTATGACCACATCCGTAATTGAACATGTCGTCTTAATCAGCCACAATGCCCATCTCATGCATGAGCTCATGAATAAAGTCCAGTGAATGTTTTTCGCGGTCAATTCTCGAAATTCCAAAAAGGTAGTCGAAGACAGCTCCACAAATCATGCCAAAAGTGACTCGCTGAAAACAAGTCACCGCCGACATCTGCTGAGATCGCCATGATCTTGTGAACAATATTTTCAGCCTCCGCGTTCTGTGCTGTATGCAATCCCGGGGCCGATCTTCAACGGCAGAGCACTGCCGGATCCCGATCCGTCGGCACAGTCATCGACTAGAGGTCATTGCGGAGTATATATGATCGAGTAACTATCAGTCAAGTTCACCAGGCAGACTACAACATACTGCGCAGACTCACTATGGCAGGCTCCACCACAACGACTACCACTATTGCCGCCGTGCTCGAGACGACCAAGAAAGAGACTCCCGTGAATGTCCTCGAAGGTGGCGCACTCGACGAACAATATTATAATCTCCAGGAGGATGAGCTCGCCTTCTTCAAGGCCCAGACAGGTATCCAGAATGAAGGTGAGCTTAAGAGACACATTATGAAAGCCCAGGAGGACGCATACAAAGTGAGTTAGCTCGTTCGTCTAATTTGCGTACAGTCCGATGTATGGAGTGGAGTACTACGTCCCTACGAGGCCCATTTCTCGACGAAGGGGAAGGGGATGAGCCACCATTTTGATGCAATGCTCACCACGCTGGATCCGGTCTGCAGGTCTATCCATATCCGTGTATCCGCCGCTTTGCTTTCACCAAGTATGTTTGTGCGCTAGGACTATTCTAGCAGAATCTGACGATATGGACGTGTCGACAGACTCAAGATTTCCCGCTTGCCCGCATACAAACAACTCCTTGAGCTCGGACAGAAGCGTGCAGGAGCGATGTTCCTCGACATTGGATGCTGCTGTGAGTTCTTGCCCCACGTTTAGACGTGATTGATTTTCTCAATGCACATATAGTCGGTAACGACGTGCGCAAGGCCATTGTCGATGGATTTCCTGCCCACCAGGCTCTTGCATCGGACCTCAAGGCAGAATTTTGGGACCTCGGCCACCATCTCTTCAACTCTACACCCTCGTCGTTTCCAGTCAAGTTCCTTCCCGGGGACGCGCTCGACGCAGCCTTCCTCGAGCCCGGTCCCATCTTCACCTCGCCACCTGCCGAGGCCGCACCAGCCCTGACCACACTCGAGACGCTGTCTCCGCTGCGAGGTCATGTCTCCGCAATCCACGCGTCGTCTTTCTTTCACCTCTTCGATGAGCCGACGCAGACGGCGCTCTCCCGAGCAGTCGCAGGACTGCTCTCTCCGGAGCCTGGGTCAGTCATCTTTGGCGTGCACGGTGGGCGTCCCGAGAAGGGCCTGCGCATTGAGCAAGGCGCGCCGAATGCACGAGGGAACTACATGTTCTGCCACTGTCCTGAGAGTTGGGCCGCATTATGGGACGGGGAGATATTTCCGAAAGGCACGGTTCGCGTCGAGGCCACGCTCATCAACGTCAAGCGGGACATGAGGGGACCCGTATTGCCTGGGACGCAGTTTTGGGCCTTGGTGTGGTCTGTCACGAGGCTGTGAACGGGGGAGTGTTTCAGATTCAAGGTCGAAGACCCAGCTGTTGCGTTATTTGCGAAGGGGAGGAGGAAATAGAATTTGAAATAGGTCTGCATCGACGGTGTTGTTTGGGTTCACTGCATCGCCCGTCTGCATGGATTCGTCTGCGGTCTGCACATCAGGTTACTGTCGGGACTTGCACGTTCACCTCTCAGACTCTGAGGCCCTTGGTATCATGTTCAGCTGAGCATATGATCGGAAACACACCTGAAGTTGCGCCCAAGTGAGGTACGATTCGTGAATTACAGCAGGATGAGTAGCCGAAGCTATCACATTAGGGTATAAGTAATGCACTCTAGGATATGGTAGACTGGTCAGCCGTGGGCCGTGGAGTCTGCCGTGACGGAATGCGCTGCGACAAAGCCCCGTGATCGCGAGGAAACACGCGTCACTACATGTTGTCACGTAGCCACCTCGGCACTGGCAGCTCTCCTCTCCTTCAAGTTTTGCGCAGGCGACCTACGAATCATAGTAGGACGGATGGCAAGTAAAAACAAGAGTTCATGCAGTCGAGGTTCGATGTATTTTGGATGAAAGAGGTTGGGGGTGGGTCGAGAAGCCGGAGTGGTATCCAAATTTCGCGAAGAGGCCTGCTAATCCATACTCACGTGTGATTGTCACTGGCAGTGCCGAGTCAGTAGCGTCACTCAAGCTAGGACACTCATCAGAATCTGGGAAGAGAACCATTGCTCAGAGTAACATTGCGAACATCGGCCTCAGTGTCAAGTGAGTCGATAGGATAGAGTGGCAAATGGAATGCGATAGACTCACGATCTCATAGACAGCATACTCTTAGTCACTGCCAAGGTAAATTGATAGGCGGGTGCGAGATACGCATCTTGCTTGCTCTATTTGCCAAAGCGCAGTTATGCCGTGCGTATTTAGATTCATTTTACTTCTTGCAGATTTCAATACCTCCCAACTTATCGACGCCCAGAGCGATTGGATGGTTGTTGCGCGATGTCAGCCTCGGCGCAGAGGTCCTATCTTCCACCCCCTCGGTTGCACTGTCCTTCCTAGAGACCGGGCCGCCGTGTGCGCGTGGATCTGAAGCGATATGGACTTACCTCCACCCGTAGCTGCAGTGACAATCGCCTGCGCGCGCAGCCACTGAGCAACGCTTGTTCCACATCCTCTATATTGTCCCTTCTCTTCAATTAACTGCCACTGGCTATATGGATGCCTAGCTCGCCACAGTAGATAAACACCGGCCAGAACACGAAGCCATAACAATTACAATTGCAACAACACGCTGGAGGCTTGGCACACAGATCCCCGGACCACTGGTTGTTTGCTGGGCGCACGTACCTTACCCCGGACAGGACGCAATTGATACAAAACCAC